TAATTGGTTCCCAGTTCATGGAACTGTTTGAGAAGGATTAGAAGGTGTGATCTTGTTGAAGGAGATACATCACAGGGTTGGGGTTTAAGGTTTCAAAAGCCTACTTCATACCCAGTTAGTGCTCTTTGCCATGTGCCTGTGGATCAACATGTAAGCTCTCATCTTGCCTGCCTTCCTGGTGCTACACTCCATGCCATGATGATCTTAGAATTTAAGTCTATAACTCTAAGCTCCAAATAAACTCTTCTGTAAGTTACCTTGGTCACAGTGCCTTCTCAAAGCAATATAAAAGTAACTAAGGCTCCATGTGAAGATATAGGCAGGAGGCAAGAAAGATCGCCTCAGAAGTCAAGCCCAGGGACATTTTAAACAGCCAGTCACTGTGAGGAAATAATTTCTGTTGTTAAAGGCAACTCTAGGAAATTCTGTTATGGCAGCTCCAGAAAGCCAACACATCTTTCGGTCACATCACAAGAGAGGGAAAAATCTGAGACAAAAAAAAAAAATCATACCTTTTGAATACAGATTCCAGATCCCACACTCATTCTCTGATAGTATACTGACTGTACTTGCACACACACACACACACACACACACACACACACACACACACACACACACACACACACACACACGGGGGGGGGGATTCTAAGAAAATTAACGTATCTTTTTTTGGACAAGAGGTATTTTATTGCTGTCCTCATCATTCTCCTTTGCCTTTACCTCTTCCAACCTGATTTCCAAATTCTTGTTTCCTTTCTTCTGTCTTTTCCACAGGAAAGATCTCATCACAAACACATGTTTCAGACTACCCATTGATCTACTTCTCGATAGCATAATTTGTAAATATCTTCCCTGCTGTTTGTTTTCTTGATTCAAGGCACACTGGTGGAGAACATGCCACCCAGGGTTCTCGGTTCCTGACCAGGATGTACACAGTCACAACTCTACAGGATGCTGTAATCTATAACATGGATCAACACAGAAAATGGCAGAGGAAAACCAAGGGATACAGCCATTAGCCTGAGATATTCTTTTTTTTTTTTTTTTTTTTTTTTTTTGGTTTTTCGAGACAGGGTTTCTCTGTGTAGTTTTGCGCCTTTCCTGGGACTCACTTGGTAGCCCAGGCTGGCCTCGAACTCACAGAGATCCGCCTGGCTCTGCCTCCCGAGTGCTGGGATTAAAGGCGTGCGCCACCACCGCCCGGCCAGCCTGAGATATTCTTGATTAGTAGCTGTCACAGTGTTTAACTAGTTTCCCTTGGGACATTATTTTTCTCTCCTTGACAAAATTCTGCCTTCTTCTCCAGTTTCTAAGATAGTAAAAAAAAAATATAACACTTTCTGTTTAGCACAACTCTTGCCTTTATTTCAGCAGATGCTAAATAATTATAGGCATGCTTAGCATTTCAAGAGTATGTTTCCTTTTAAGTCCTTAATGCACATATTCACATTAATGTTTCAATTTCCACAAGGATAAAAAACAAAATAATGAAAATTGAAAACTTCCAATCTTAACTCTCTGCTAAATAGAAGCGGGACAGGGGCTGAAGAAATGACTCAGCCATTAAGAGCACTTGCAACTCTTGCAGATGACCCTGATTTGTCTCAGCATCCACACTGACAGTTCACAACTGTTCATAATTCCAGTTCTAGAGGATCCAATGCCTCCTTCTGACATCTGGGCATCCTGTGCACACATGGTGCATAGACATACATGTAGGCAGAATACTCATAAACATAAAATAAATCCAAGAAAAAGAAATGGGGCAGGTGATGGGTGAGGTTACCATCCAGTGGTGATGAGGACTGACCTCTCCTAGTGCTTGTCTAAGTTCACAGACATCCTAGGGCAGGCATTCTATGCAACTGGCAAATGTGTTGACATCAGGACATCACCTATATCATGCCCCTGTGTTCAAGGCTGGAGGATTTAAAATACATGAATAATGACAATGAGGGTTGATACACAGATTTTTTTTCTTGGTAAAAGCTTTTTTCCTTTATTTCTTAGAATCTACCTTTTTTGAATGTCTTCAGAAATACGATAGTACCTCACGTTTCCCCAGTGCTTCTTCCTGGAGGAAAATTGAAGTGCTCTGCCTCACATGAGCCCTTGTAGAATTCTAATGTGTTTGAGTTTGCCGCGTGTTCTACAGAGCACAAGAGGGGATCGGCCATTAACCAGAAGAAGCTCTATAGGCCCATGGAAATAGTAATTAATGTGCAGGGTATCACTTAAAATAACCTTGGGATCTGATCATTTGGTTTTCTCTATGGTGCCTTGAATGGATTAGATGTGTTAGAATTCAGGTGAAGATCTGCATGGCTGTCAGGGGACGGGCTACACAAGGACTTGTTAGAGATGTCAATTCCTGTCATCTTTGCAGTCACACAATGTTTAATGAAGGTAAATCTATGAAGATTCACTGATGTGTTTTCCAGGTCTGTGACTTCAGAACTCTTAAACCCTCTAATCTGGAATTTGGGTTGAAATGCACCAGCTAAATTTGGAGGATGACAATATTCATTCTTTAAAAGCAGCAGATGGAATGTAATCCTTGTTCAGCTTTTCTTAGACCCCATCTGGATGCCTGGGAAAAGAAATATGAAAGAATTCAAAATGTGCATAGGCATATAAAATGCAAAATAATGAGCATGCTTTTTTGTTTCAATCTAGTAAAAAAAAGTCTACTCCAGGGGTGTAAAAAATGTGACCTGGAAAATACTGATATTTTTCTTTTTCAAATAAAGCCATTATCTTTAAAAAAAAAAGCCAAAACACAAGCATATGAAGATTGAAAATTGAAGCTTTGCTATATGCTAACATCTGAACAATTTAGTGATTAAACAGATTTCTTTGGAGACATGTGAAGAATAAAAATAAGTTTACTTTTGCTAATTTGTCCATTCAACACTTACTGCTTGTGGTTGAGATTGCTTGGTCAATTAACTATATTGCCCAGATTTTGCTTTGTTTTCTTGTGGTCCTCTCTTTCCATAAAATTCCTGGTAGTAATATGGGTGCCAACAGACTGATCCAGCAAAAGCAGCCCATTTCTCCATATCTATTTAACCTATCGGCAATTTTAATTCCTCTTCACTACATGACAACAAATTCAGAAGTTTGAGGGATGTTATGGTTTGCATCTGAAATATATATAAAAGGCTCATGTTTTGAATGATTGGCCCACAGCTGGTGGCACTATTTTATATGCTTGGAAACCTGTGGAAGGTAGGATCTGGTTGGAGGTAACGGCTCACTAGAGGTGTCTCTAGTCTGAAGGGCAGACTCTGCCCAGCCCTCTTCTTTACCCTGGTTGCTTCTTGTCTACTACAAAGGAGTGCCTCCAAGTTGTTTCTCATGTCACCAGATGTCCCATCATATCACATGCCCAGAAACATTGAAATCCACCAGGACAGGTTAACCTCTGAAACCATGAGCCAAATTCAATGATTTCCCCCTTAAACTGTGTCTGTCAGATACCTGGTTATAGAGATGAGAAAACCAAGCGAAACAAAGGTTTAGGACCAGGATATTATTCTAGCCTACTCTGTTGAGTTTACTTTTACCATAGCAACCTCAGAAAGAGCCATGAAAAAGTACAGATTAGATGACGTCACAGCTCAATTCACAACAGTATTGTAAATCCTCATTTTGCTATAACACAATATGGAAACAACAACTTACTGAGTCTGTTTTTGTTGTGAGTTTGTATATGGTCTCAGGACTGAGTACTCTGCATTGGACAACCAACAGGCAGGCATATCTCCGGGAGAGGTTAAATTCTCCTTCTTCCACTTGTCATCAGTTGTCTGTAGTTCCTTGGCTAGGGATGGGATCCCTTGAAATTCTCTCCCTTTATTTTAACATGTCCATTGATATTGCCATGTTCTGGTCCTGTTTATGTGGCCATTTCGAGGAGAGATTGTTTCACAGCAAACATCCTGATATTCTGTGTCTTACAAGCATTCCAACCCCTCTTCCCTGATGTCCTCTGAGCCATGGATGTAGGAGTTGTGATGTAGATGTATTATTTGGGACTAAGCGCCCCCCCAAACCATTGATCCCTGTATTGTGTCTAGTTGTGATTTTTCTGTGCTGCTCTCCATTTGCTGTAAAGGGAAGCTTCCTTGATGAGGAATGGTAGTTACACTTACCTGTGGGTACAAGGATAAGATTTAGAATGTAGTCTTGACTTAGGCTGGTCTAGCACAGCAGCAGTAGTAGATTCTTTTCCAAGGTCCATAACCTCACCAGCTCCAGGAAGCTGGCTAGGTTTCCAGTACCAAGCATGATTTCCCTCTTGTTGGATGGGCTTAAAGCACAATTAGACAGGTATTGGTTGCCCCAGGTTCATAAGTACCATTTTTGCCCCTTTATGCATATCTTGCCACGATTCATAGTTGTTCAGCTGGGTTCATAGTTTGTTAATAGGTGTTGCAGTTGGGTAGGGCCATTTAATTGCTTCCCTCCCTTGGCATCTTGCATAGTATTTTCTGGAACCATGGAAACTAGACCTCAGGGAAGAGTCATTCAGATCAGATCCTGCTCGAATCATCTAAGCCCAGTGTCCTAAGCATATGGTGTCTTCAGCAATAGGAGCCTACCCTCAACCATGGAGAGGCAGCGAAGGCCCACATCAATAATCTGTATTGTTTTGGGAGAAACTTGGACAACCTATTATGACAAAGAGGTTTCTTGTGCCTGGTACTGGGGTTTTTGCTCGGCTGGTTCTTGTGGGGAGCATTGTCAGCCCAGGTGGCTTAACTTCCTCGAGGTAACCCAGATCCAGAAAGACAAACACCTCATGTTCTTTGTCTTCTGCAGTGCCTAGCTCCTAATCCTCAGATGTGAATATCCAATGTGGAGAAACCACAGAAACCAGAAAAGCTGTAAAGGGACCATAGGTGGGAGGGGGGGGGGGGTTGGGAAGGAAACAGAGTAGGGTAGAGGTGATATGAAGTAGAAAATGGAATAAAAAGGAGTGGGTTCCAACCTAAGAGGAGGGTTGGGGGTCAATACAGTAAAAAGGGGGAGGAACAGAGACAAATAACACCTAGGTAGCTCAATAAAGCTCCAAGGAATCATGTCATTTAATATTTATCTAAACTTATACACAATGCACCTAAGTGTATGTGTATGTCTATAACACTAATCTTTCCCTGAATTATATACAATTTAACATTTCTGTTTATTTTTCAGTTAAATTGTGTGATCCTAGAGGGCAGCAGATAACTTAGACACTTCTAATTTGTGCTCTGTGCCACACTCCACTGAGAATTGAGTGTCATCTACACCCTTTGGATGCTTACTGTTGGATGGCCCGAGCACTCAAGACCTCACTCATGAAATGATCCCTGGAAAGAAGAGATCTTATTTCCAGATGGGAAAACCGAGGGGTAGTGGGGTTGACATCGGGATCCTCTAGTCAGTGAATGACAGGTGTGTCAAAGCTGCACCTGCCGGACTATACACCCCACTCTCTCTGAACTTTGGTGGTTTTCATTTGCTTTCAGACATAGTAGTTTGCTGTCAGGTTTATCAAGGTGAACTTGAGCATTCATCACTGAATGTTTTTTGTTTGTTCGTTCATTTTCTGGCATTTCAGCCTTTTTCTTGTTCCTGCACTTAATTGTGACTGTCCGGTCTCACAATCTCAGAAGATCCTGGCTGTGGCAGTGAGAGAAGGGAGGGAACTCTGGAGGATGCTGCGGAGCTCTGAGGTCTCTAGTAACAGTTAATGTGCTTATTCCCTAACAATCCTTGGGAAATTTAGCAGTGATGTGTGCAGCAGTAAAAATCATTTCCACTTCAATTCTCACATGGCAGGCAGCGTGATAGGATGTCGGAAAGGCTGGTTAGAGGCCTGGCAGAATCCCAAGACCACCCTGTCTGCACACCCACGTCCTTGTCATTGGCACTCTTGCCTGTCATTTATCTACAGGAAAGAGGTCAAGGTTCTCAGCAGCAGGGAACACCAACTACTCCCAGTGCCTCCTGGGAACCTCACTCTCTCAAAGGAGGATAATGAAAATTGTTCTGGAAGTGGTGTTGTAGACAGAACCAAAAAGCAGAGGACGAAGGGTGATAAAAGGGCAAAAATAGTGAGTTCGGCGACCGGCATGCTGGAATATTTGTGAGAGGATGGAAGGGGATCCCTGTGGAGGATGGGAGAAGACAGGAGAAAGAAGAAAGCCCCGTCTAAGGAAGTGAATTGTGTGCAGCCCCCCAACAATTCAGAATCTATCCTGAGACTAGTCCCAAATAGACTTTCATGTACCATAGTTTGAATTATAATGCAGCCAACCACTGCCCGACCATATCAGTATTCCCCTTGACTCAATCAAGACTGAGAGCCCTCACTCACATAACTTTTGATAGTGTGTTATAATAATTGAATTACTTCATTACCAATTATTGCTGTTAACCTTTTACTGGGCCTAATATATAAATGAAATTTTATCATTGTTGGATATATATACAAAATGTTATATATAGTGATACATATATATTATATGTATATGTATGTACCATCCAGTTTGGACATCTACCAAGATTCTTAGAACCTACTCTCCTATTGATAAGGTGGACTACAGCAATACCTAAAATTATGTAAACAAATATGTAGATAAAACAATTATCAAGCCGGGCGGTGGTGGCGCACGCCTTTAATCCCAGCACTCGGGAGGTAGAGCCAGGCGGATCTCTGTGAGTTCGAGGCCAGCCTGGACTACCAAGTGAGTTCCAGGAAAGGCGCAAAGCTACACAGAGAAACCCTGTCTCGAAAAACCAAAAAAAAAAAAAAAAAAAAAAATTATCAATTGTATACATAATACAATTGATATATGAAACCAAAAAAAAATCTATGTGAAGACATATCAAAATTAAAGCTAAACACAGAGGAAAAAATTAGATTATGCTAGAGAAAAATTACTTGTCTTTTGTATTTTCTCTATTGAAAGTCACATATAAAAACAAAAACATGAAAAAGTAGTATGAGAGGTGGCAAGATTGATTTTCGTTCTAATGAATAAGAATATTTGTTTTTCTCCTAGATTTTTATGGCTTTGGTAGTTCTTGGCTTTCAAAACTACTGATTTGTGCTGACCAAATTTTAGAGTCAGTGCCTATTTGTTTGAGTTTGTAATTTTTATTACATCCTTTTCATTTCAACAGAGGGCCCCCAAAGAGATTAATGTTCTGTGCTATTACACTGTACTTACTCCCAAATCACTAGCAGGAAGAAGAAAACAATAATCTCTGCATATTGAATTCATGTCTCAAAAATATATTCATGAACATCTCAAAATACAAAATAAATGTTCTTTTGTTGATAGTGCAAATAGAATTTCAAAAACAACTTTTAAACAGACATGAACACAGTTCCACAGAAGGAAACCAACACTTCTGCATGTAGAAACACTGTTTCATTGAGAAAAAAATGCATGCTACAGAGACAAATGGGAAACCGGTTGAATCCTCGAGACACCAGGTACCAGCGGTGGGTCCTGAAGGATGTTACTGGTCCTCTCTTCTGGATGGTGGATGATATTAATCAGACCTCTCTGCTCAGAAGACCCATCTGCTAGACACAAATGGATACTACCATCTGTCAAATGATTTTTCTCTATAGTTGAGATTCATATGCTTCGTTCTTTCATTAAACTAATATGATCAACTGACTCACTTTATTCAACCTTGTACTATGGAGATGAATGACTCTCTGTAGGATATAATCCTTCTTAGGAGTTGCTGGCTCCAACTTGCTCATGCTCTATGAAGAATTCTGGGAGTATACTCTTGAGGGTTGCTAGCATGCAGGCTTCTTTTTCATATGATGCATTTAGTTTGAGTATTATCAGGGTTGTCTTTAGAGTATATGAACTATAGAAAAATATATTTACATATTTGATGAGAAACATTATGACCTGAGCATGGTGACACCTTGTCTGTAATATCAGCACTGAAAGCATGAGGCAGGAGAACTGCAAGTTTGAGACTAGCTTGGGCTACATAGAGATGCCATCTCACAAAACAAACCACATACTATAAAACTCATAGTCTTATACAGGACATAATGAAGATTTGGAAAGGAGGTAGGGGAAAGGAACTTCTTGTTTGTTTATTATCTAATGCATGAACATAAAGTCTCTTTTATCATCTCTTCCTGGTTAGGTCCAGGAACCATCGCTTCTAGGTCTTGATCGTCAAAAATCTCATATCTTGAGGAATCTCAGCAATGCTGATTGATTCACAGCGTCAGAATTTATTTGCACTGAAGCCGTGGAGATCTTCCTACCTCTGCAGTTCCCTACAGCCAGTCACATCGGTCCTCCCGAGGCACCCCTTGTCTTCTGAACAGGAACACTGGGTTCCAAGCAGGCACAGGTAAGGCTACGACTGGGCTTTGTGATGATGGCTACATAGGTAGGCATTTCCAGAATCTGCAGGAAACATGAATGACAATTTGGTTTTTGTTCATGTTGAACTTGCCAATTAGAATTTTCTAGCCTCCATATGGAACTTGCTTTGTCTTTAGAAATATTTATTTATTCATTTTTATTTATATGTATGTGTGTATATCTGAGTTGCGTGCATATCAAGTGTATGCTGGTGCCAGTGGAGGCCAGAAGAGGGCATAGAATCCTTTGGAGCTACAGTTATACATGGGTGTAGGACTCCTGACCTGTGTACTGGGAACCAAACTTGGGTCCTCTGGAAGAGCAGCCATTGGCCTTAGCTGCTAAGTCATATCTCCAGCCCTGTGTGGAACTCTTCAGACTGTCACAGTGTATTTGTAGATCTATATTGCCCCCCACCCCCGTTGCCTCGCCCAAATCCTCCCCTAACACAGGAGAGAGGGATGAGTAAGAAGGCAGTTGCATTTTTACAGGGATGTCTGTATCTCCCCTACAAGATTTAAAGCTACGCTCAGAGAGCACAAACACATAAATCAGAGGCAAAAGAGAACAAGGACCTCAAAGGCTGCAGGAGTGGGGACAACCACTTCACGTGAAGTGTGGAGCTAGTGGAAGGGACTGGGGAAGCAAACTAGCTTTCAGATGCAAGAATTTACAGGGTCAAACATGTTTGAGTATAGCACTGCAGTCAGAATAGAGAATATAGAGAGTCGGGGCGTGGGAACAATTGTGTGGTTCAAAACCAAGGCTGGCAATGAAGTTTGCAGTCCAGAGTCTTTAACTTGCCTTGTGTTGACTTAAAAGGGCCTCTTATTACCTGCGTTTCAGCACCATCTTGGCAAGCCGATGCTGTGCTTCCAAATCTGAGTACTGCACATCATCTTAAGGTTCTTAGTAAGAAATTTGCTTTCCCAGGCCTCCCTCCTGGAATAAGAACCTGATCATGAGGTCCTGTGACAACACCAGAAGGTTGAGCTCATTGGCTTGTTAGGGCGTTTGGTTGACCCAGTATACAAGGTCTACATTCAAAGACAGGAGAGTCTGGAGCAAGGGACTGTGAAGGTCCTAGCACAAACTCAATGCACTTCACTCTGAGAGCTCTGCTGGCCTTACTGACTTCTAGGTACCAAAGAGGTTTTAAAATGTTAAGACTGTATCAAATGGGGTTCCTAGACTTAGAGGCTCAGAGATAGGGCCTAATTTGCAGCCTTACAGAACGAGGGGAGACATTATCACCCCTACTTTGTTCTCTGTGTTTTTATGAGGCTAGAGTCAAAATTGAAATTACTGACATAAAGTTGTTTATAATATTCTTTTTTTAAAAGATTCATTTATTTATTATGTATACAGTGCTCTGCCTGTATATGTGCCTGCACGCTAGAAGAGGGCACCAGATCTCATTACAGATGGTTGTGAGCCACCATGCAGTTGCTGGGAATTGAACTCAGGACCTCTGGAAGAGCAGCCAGTGCTCTTAACCTCTGAGCCATCTCTCCAGCCCCCTGTTTATAATATTCTTATTGTGTGTTTAGTGTCTGTAATGTTTCTTGGACCATGGAGACTTCTGTTCTTCATTTTCACATTTTGAAATGTGTTGGCACATTTATGATCATTATCTTCTTTAAGGGATGAATTTTCCATCTTGAATGAAGACAAAAATCCTTTGTTGTGAAGTTTATCTTGTATGGGATTAAAACAAAAGTACACTTTCATTTCCTCTCTTCTATTCTTTGTGTTGTTTTCCTGTTTGTTTGTTTGTTTGTTTGTTTTCAAAGCAGCAAGGAAACTTTACATAAGGTAAAGTGATAGCATAGATTGGAAAAAAGAAATATGCTGTCAATAGTGATGGTGGGCCATATGAATGAGAGTACCCAATGCTGTCAATAGTGACAGTGGGCCACATGATTGAGAGTTCCCAGTGCTGTCAAGAGTAGCAGTGGGCCACATGAATGAGAATACTCAAGGGCCCTTATTGTTTGAGGCTTGTTTTTACAAAGTTCAAGAGAAGGAGGAATTTGGTTGCTAAGGGGTATTATTTGTTTTGATTGACAGGCTTAGACTATTTTCATATATTTTAAACACAACAATGAATTGTATTTTTTTCTTCCAGCTATCAAAAATTGTAGTTTTTACCCATTTCCACACAAACTTATACGTATTCAAAGATTAGAGGGGTTCCCATGTGAATTTCTGGGGTCCCTTCTCCTCCTTGAACTGTGTTCCACAAATTCTACTTACTTTAATTCTTCCTGAACACCAGAGTTCCATGACTCAGTGATACTGCCAGACTCCTTTTGTACTACAGTCTGGAAGTTTCCTCCAGGTAGAAATCCAAGAATTACACAGTATACCTCCCTTGCCTCCGCATTCTTGTCTTAAGCAGCTGTTGACCAATTCTGACAATTATTGTTTTTAAAACATTTTCTACTTATTTGTAGAGGTGTGTGTGTGTGTGTGTGTGTGTGTGTGTGTGTGTGTGTGTACTTAAGATGATGTGCAGTACTCAAAGAAAGCAGAAATCCCCAGAAACAACACGTTTTTAACTGTATCTCAACGTTCTGCTTGGAGACTAATCACCACAGCTTGCTGGCTTCCTCAGAAATGCTAAAGTTTATTTATTCTGATACTTCCTCCCTCATTTCTACTACCTTTAATTCTCAGACCTTTTTTTTTAATCCAAAACTTTCATTTGTAGTCTTAATATACTGATCTTCAAAATTATAATTTAATTAGTAATAAGATTCTGGTCTTAAATGGAGCCGGTTTAAATGGAAAAAAAACAAAAACAAACAAACAAAAAACAAACCCAAAAAATAAAACTTGCTTCTTGGAGGTATAGTGCTAAAAACTGGGGATCTATATTTGGCAAAACATTTAACAATTATAAAAATTCCAAAATTGATGATAATATTTAATTAAGAAAATTATAAAGACATGTTTCTCTATAGTTGCTGCATTAGTTAATGTCTGTTGCATTGATTAAATACCATGACCATGACAACTTTTAGGAGAATTACAGTTCCAGAGGGGTAAGAGTCAGTCATAATGGGGGTGGGGGTGCATGGCAGCAAGTGGCAGGCAGCATGGTGGCATTAGTGGAAAGGTGAGAAATCACATCCCACCATGAGGAAGCAAAGAGAGATCTGGAAGCAGAGCCAGGCGATATAATGTCAGAGCCTGTGCTCCGTGAAGGATTTCCTCCAGCAAGGCTGCACCACCTAGATTTGCCCAAACAGTGCCATCATCTAGGCACTGAGTGCTCAAATATCAGAACCTATAGAAGACATTTCTCATTTAAACCACCACGGTTGCCACCCAAAATATGTATATAAGGATAAAACTTGCCATTTGCCTCACCTTTTCCACTCAGAGAAAGTCTGCTTGAAGCTGGTTGTACTCTGTGAAATTACTAACAGGAAGCACCTGGCAAAGCCAGTTTCCTAGACCCTAAACCTTTGGATTATTCCTTTACAGAATAAATCGTAATAAGGGACAAGGATGTGAGTTTTTTAAGATAAAGAATTTATGAAGCATTCTTAATGCCTTTTGCCTTGCCCTCCCTTCTATTCCCTCAGTGGGGGGTCTGGGAGTCAGGGCTCAAAGGAGTTTCCCTTTGTTCCACTCTCTCCTCTTGGACTCTGTCTCCTTGACTTCCAGAAAGAGCTGTGGGAAAGCCTGCAGCAGGGGAAATGTTGCTGACAGAGCTTTCGGTGATACTGATGTGGGAGAGAAAGAACCCCAGGCAGGCTGTGTTCCTTGGTTTGACAAGGCATGATGAAGGGTTATCTGAGAAGGTAGCTGGGATTTGCCTAAATGGAGATTTCTGGGAGGGTTGCTTGTTTGCCATGGTAATGAGGGAAGAGGGCTGTACATGTGAGCCCTTGTGGAGTCACAATCTCATCTCTTCTCAGAAGCCATCACAGTCTTAGTAGTGGATGGAGAGTCAGAGAAGGGACTCATCACCACTGGTCTTCTGTTCTATGAAAGTTTAGATCGTTCTTCCTCTTTCTTGGGCAGAGGGAATAGTGGGAGGACAGGAAGTTTTGATAGTTTGAATTTCAAAAGGCATTAGATTGAATACTGAACCTGAGTGGTATGAAGAAATATTTCTGGCCTAGTCAAAATGCATAGTTGAAGCTCCAAATTTTTATGATGTTTGAAAGTGGATAAAGTTCATTCTTACATATATTTATGTTGAGCCTGTTTAATCAAACAATGTGCTTGTGCAAATATGTAAAACCAAACACAGCACTGAAAGCTACTTGTACTGTGGTTAGCATTACATACTTTCAAAACTCCCTCGAGAGAAGTCCACTGAATTATTGTTTTGGCTAAGACTTTAAAGGTACATTTCTTGACTAAAGCTTGACCTGGCCATAGGATGCCTCCCTCTCTCTCCTCTTGCAAACCTCCTTCTAACACGCCTAGACATTTGCCGTCACTCTAAAATGCTTTGAATTGTTCTCAAAATTAGGGTCATCGGTCTCCAAAATTTGCATTGCTCTGCTGGAGGGAGGGGGGTGGATAGGAAAGCACTCTTGTGCCCTTGAATGGCAAATGCTGCCCGGTGAGGAATTCTTTAGTCACCTCAGAACTTCCTTTCCGAGATGATTCTCAACGATGATGTAATCAGTTTGGGCTAAGGAAGGCTAACAGGACCAGTCACTGAATGAGTAGGAAGTCCACAAACACAGGTTTTTAGATCTTAATCATGTGGCAGCTCTTTCTATTTTAAATATAGCGCAAAACTAAACATTTTTAATCATAAGAACACATTCCTTCCCCATTGCTGCTGTTAAAAATTACAGTTGGACCTCCTGAAACTGAAAAGCTTCTGCACGGCAAAGGACATCATCATTTAGACACAGCAGCAGCCTACAGCATAGAAAAATATTTTTTACTAACTACACATTCAATAGAAAGCTAATATCCAAAGTATATAAAGAATTCAAAAAACTTGATATCAATAAAACAAATAGCCCAATTTTAAACTGGAATACAGATCTAAACAGAGAATGCTCAAGAGAAGAAACTCAAATAGATGAGAAACACTTAAAGAAATGTTCAAGATCCTTAGCCATCAGGAAAATGCAAATCAAAGCTACTTTGAGATTTCATCTTGCACCTGTCTGAATGGCTAAGATCAAGAAAACAAATGAAAGCTCATATTGACAAGGATGTGGAGTAAGGGGAAACACCCATCTGTTGATGGTGGTAATGTGAATGTATACAGCCTCTGTGGGAAATCAGTGTGGCAGGATAGGAATCCATCTACAGCAAGATCTAGCTATGCCACTCTTGGGCATATACCAAAGTATGCTTCATCCTATCATAGGGACACTTGCTCAGCCCTGTTCACTGCTGCTCTATTCATAATAGCCAGAAATTAGAAACAGCTTAGAGGTCCCACAACAAAAGAATAGAAGAAAATACGCTACATTTATACAATGGAGTATTATCAGCCATTAAAAAATAAAATCGAGAGATTTGCAGGCAAAAAGATGGAACTAGAAAAAAAAATCATGCCAAGTTAGGTAACCCAGAGACAGAAAGACAAATATGGTATCTATTCACTTATATATGAATATTATTTGTTAAATCAGTGATAACCTAGCTACAGTCTATAGAACCACAAAGGTTGGGTGTAGAATAAGGGACTAGGGGGAAAACGTAGGTCTTCATAGGAAGCAGAAATAGAATAGATAGATATGGAATGGGAGAATCAAGTAGGGAGAAGGAGAGGATAGGGATATGAGGGAAGGAATATGGGGAGAGATGGCTGAAATTGAGGGCCATTTGAGGGGTAGTACTACCTAATACAGCAGAAACTTCTTAAAATACATACATATCTGAAGGCCATCTAAATGAAATCACCAAATAATGGGCAAGACAGAGCCCCAGTTGGCCATCCCTTGTCACCAAATGAAGCATCCCGTCCCAGGATTGGGTTATATCTAACTGAGTTGTTGGCCAAAGGGGTCCTGCGGGAACCTCCAAATCACCCAGGCTGTAGTCAAGACTACAGGTTGCTCTCCACAAACTGATGGCAAGGCCCTACTGCTGAAGACAACACGTCCACAACTAACTGAACACGGAAAAGTCAAGCTGGTGCCTACATATTTGTCTTTCTGGTTCTGGGTTACCTAACTCGGGATGATTTTTTTTTTCTAGTTCCATCCTTTAGCCTGCAAATTTCACGATTTCATTTTTTAATGGTGGAGTAATACTCCGTTGTGTAAATGCAACACATTTTCTTCATCTCTTCTTTTGTTGTGGGACCTCTAGGTTGTTTCCAGTTTCTGGCTATTATGAATAGAGCAGCAATGAACATGGTTGAGCAAGTGTGCCTACGATAAGATGAAGCATACTTTGGGTATATGCCCAAGAGTGACATAGCGAGATCTTGTGGTAGATGGATTCCCATCTACCCCTATGCTCTAGAGTCCTTGGTACAGGAGGATACTCTGTATGCTACCACAGGAGAAATGTGAACGCCAACCCAGCCACAAAACCTTTGTTCTACAATGGTGTCTTGCCTTTAAGATATGCGAGGGGCAATGGTGGTACAAAGTTTGTGGGAGTAACCAACTTATATCTGACTTGACTGAAGGCCCACTCCATGAGATGGAATCCATACCCAACACTACTTGGGTGGCTAAGAACCTGAGACGAGATAGCCCAGGGACCCAGGGTAAAGCCAAATACTACTGTTCCAAAGAAAAATACATAGCAATAAAATGCCTTCTAATGACATTCTGCTAAACTCATACATCAGTGCCTTGCTCAGTTATCATCTGAAAAGCTTCCTCCTGAAGCAGATGGGACCAAATACAGAGACCCAAATTATGTGTAAGTGACCCTCAGATTCCAAACAGGATAACTCCATCAAATCCTTCCCCTCAGAGTTCAGGGAATCCTGAAGAAGAGGAGGCAGAACAAGTATAAGAGCCAGAGGGGATGGGAGACGCCAAGGAAACAAGGCCCTGTAAATCAGTGGTTCTCAACCTTCTTAACACCATGGCCCTTAAACACAGTTCCTCATGTTATGGTGACCCCTAACCATAAAATTATTTTCATTGCTGCTTCATAACTATAATTTTGCTAGTTATGAATTGTAATATAAATACCTATGTTTTCCCATGTTCTTAGGCAACCTCTGTGAGAGGGTCATTCGACCACCAAAGGAGTTGCAACCCACAGGTGGAGAACCACTTTAGAGACTACAGCGATATGATGAACACACATAGGAGCTCAGAGACTGAGGCAGCATGCACAGAGCCTGCACAGGTTTGCACCAGATGGGATCCTAGGGCTGAAAGGAGTAGACACATGCCCCATCCTTAACCCAGTGGCAATCTCCAACTGAGAGACATTGGCAAATGAAAATTTAGTTTCCTTTGAGGGAGTCTCGCTGGGGAAACAAACTATTTTGGGGGGCAAGCTTCATGTCCAGCCATAGATGACGAACAGAAAATGAACTCAGGGGCACTTTTGAGGGTTCCTTGTTTCACAATGCTACTCCAGGACTTTTCCTTTTTATTTTATTTCGTTTATGTTTTTCTTCTCTTTTTTTTCAACCCTACAGGTACCTCAAGTATATATTATTGCTTTCAGTTTAGTGTTTTTATAGGATTCCTGAATGTGAGTACAACTGGGTCTCTGCATCAATATCTGTTTCCTGTGCCTGTTCTTGGGTCCTTTTTCTTCTATCTGTTTTGTTATATTCCAATGTGTTGGTTTTTGTTTTATCTTATCTTATTTTATTATTATCCCTTAGAAGCCTGTTTGTTTTCTAATGAGAGACGGAAAGGGGGTGGATCTAGATCAGAGGGGAGGTGGGCAGGAACTGGGAGGAGTAGAGGGAAGGGAAACCATAACCAGGATATATTATGTGAGAAAAAAATCTATTTTCAATAAAAGGAAAAAAATTAAGACAAAGTAAGTGACCTAAAATGCAAATATTTTAACCCAACAAGTTTGGAGGTCAGAGGTCCTAAAATCAAAGTGTCACTAAGATGGTATTAACTTTGGGACTGTCGTGGATAATTCACTTCCCTGCCTTCTGCACTTTTAGAAGCTGCCTTCATTGCTCTGTTTATGGCCATTTCCACAGAACACCCAGAGCTTTCTTACCACCCTCACATTTCTTCAATATGGACCCCTTTCATCCTTTTTATAATGATCCTTGAAACTAATATTGGACCCACTGGAAATGCAGAAATCTCTCTCTCTCTCTCTCTCTCTCTCTCTCTCTCTCTCTCTCTCTCTCTCTCTCTGTGTGTGTGTGTGTGTGTGTGTGTATGTGTGTCTGACAAAGAAAGTGGGCGACAACATTAGGGGTCCTTTTTTAGATGTCAGTACCCCATTTTTGAGATAGCCCCTCTCAGTGCCAAGACTATAAGTATGCGCCACCTCTCTTGGCTTTTTATTAACTGGGTCCTGCTTGCAAGGTAAGCACTTTACCGAATGAGCCATCTCTTCAGCTGTCAACTTTCCATGTTAAGGTCCTTGACTGAAACACATCTACATTTGTGATTAAGCTAGTCACAAGTGTCAGAATGTGAACATATTTCGGGAAGAGGAAGTATCACTAGAGCACGTTTACTCAAAGAACAAGAAGTAGTGTGGTTTCAAAGATGTCTGAACTGTGCAACTCCTAAAGTCAGCTTCTGACAATGACTTTCTGTTGACTGGCCTTTATGTCTGTGCTCCTCTTTTTTTTGTTTGCTTATTTTTTGAGACATCATCTTATGTAGTCGGGTTTTCCTTGAATTTGTACTCCTCCTGCCTCATTCTTACAGCTGCTGGGATTATTGGTGTGTACCAGCACATCTGGCTTGGTCTTTCAACTTTTTTGAGCCCCCCAACTTCTAGACCACTTTTGTTGTGTCTCAATATTTATTGCTTGCTAAGTCCCTTCTGAATTTCCTGATTTTCTTCTTCCAAGCACTAAAATTCAAGTACTCTTTACTCAGCATTCTTGTCTCGTGGCGTTCTTCTAAATTAAAATTCTTTAAAAATACATTTCTATTAATTCTTTGAAATTATATGAAGTATTTTGGTTATTTTCACCCTGCACCCTTGCCTGTAGTTCCTCCCACATCTACCCTCTCCATTCCTCACCTCTCTAAACTTTTTGCCCTTAAAATAAAAGCCACCAAGTCCAATTTGTACTGCACACACATTTTTGGGTATGGGGTCATCCCCTGGAGCATGCTTGACCTATTAGGGTCTATACACTGAAAGAAAACTCACTTGCCCACCCTCAGAGGCCATCAACTGTTACTAGCTCCTCAGTTAGGGGTTTAATTAACTGTTAGAGCTCCTCAGTTAGGGGTCTGAGCTCCTGTTTGAGCGTTGACTGGCTTTATCTTATTCAGCTCTGATGCAGCCAACCACAGTGGCTGTGAGTTCACAATGCAGAAGCCTGTCATATTCAGAAGACTCTGTCTAGCTCACTCACGCAGAATTACTTCTGCTCCCTTCTGCATATATTCATATAAAAGAATATAACTGGGGTTGCCCTACGCAGATGATAATTTTCTGAGAAGCCATAATGCCAGGTGTGGAATGTGTGTAGCTTAATCATTGGTCAGGGATGTCTAAAACAATACAAGCCATGGCCACTGCTTTAGGCCACCCACCAGAACTGGTAGGTAAGATCCCATTGCTGAAGATACCATACACTTTGGTCACAGGACACAGAAATCAAGCTGGTATCGACTAGGAAGATTATTTCCTGATGGATAGCTAGGGTGTGGGGTAGTCATCAACAGTCTTTCCCAGCTGTGAACCCTGTGATCTACAATAATGACTGATGTGGCAAGATATGCCCATGGATGCAATAATGGCATGGATGTTACAAGGACAACCACACACTTTCTGATTAGGTTTAAGGCCTGTTTCACAGGAATAAATGCATGCTTTGTACTGTAAATCTAGCTAAGAACCTATGGTTGTAGCTCACAGACCCCAGGGATGAACCCACTACCATTACTCTGTTGTGGGCATCGTATCAAACTGACTTCTAAATTCTTATCTCTATATCTCCAAATTAGTGCAGCTCTCAGACCTCATCAGAGAAGTATATATATATATTGGATGGTGGTTAATGCAGAAACTCACAACTGCTCAAAATGCAGAGACAAGTTATCAGTGGAGTGCTCAGTCACAGTTGGGACACCTGTTTTACCCATCCACTCCCAAGGCTCATGAAAGGAGGCAGACAGATAATCTGTATAGAGTAACTCCAATAAAACGTGTGTGTGTGTGTGTGTGTGTGTGTGTGTGTGTGTGTGTGTGTGTGTGTAGCAGATGAAGTCCTGAGTGAATGTGTGTTGTTGACATGAGCACAGCCAGGCCAAGGACTCCAATGCCTTAGATGCATGGGAACACCAAAGCCTTTGCTGGATCAGGCTCTGGGAAATGACAAAGCCTTCCCTGTGCAAGAAGCATTTTCATTCTCCTGGATGTCTATAACTAGAGACTTCTGTCCTACAAAGACTTCCTCCTGAGACTACCAGAAACCCTCCTCCTTGTGCTGGACAAAATCAACATGCTGGGTTTCCAAGCTTCATAGTAGATGTCATCCATCAGAGTTAGCACAGCCCACCCAATCCCTCTTCTGAGTGTGCCTGTGTGTGTTTTTTTTTTTTTTTTTTTTTTTTTTTTTCATTCTCATGTTGCCCCAGACTAGTTTTCAGGACCAAGTTGTACAGAATGTGGTATGTGTATGCATGCAGGTATGTATGTATGTATGTATGTATGTATGTATGTATTATGTTTAGGAAGCTTATAAGTAGTAGGCTTCTAGTTGGCCTTTTCAAGTATCTTGTGTGTTAGTTATCCTTCTCCAGGCACTCCTATGCCCTACGCTTCCATTCCTATTCCTACTTAAACCCTTCTTCCCATTATTTCCCTTTTAAGGATTTTTCTTGCCTATCCTATTGAGATCTCTTGGAGTTGAACCCCAAACGGTCTTGTCCTGGGCCCCGAGTTCAGCTCCTGTTGTTTCTGCAACCCATGCTGCTGTTTGTAGGGTCCATAACAGAGTTGAACCCCATCCCCTCTCTTCTCCCCCTTCAGACAATTCTTTGAGGAGGAAATTTCAGCCATCTGAGACATAGACTAGAAACTTTTACCCTTTGACCTACAAACTCATTTTAACTTTCCTGATGGTCTTTTTCCTATGCCCATGGGAGAGAGAGGTGTTTTTTCTTTTCTTTTTTTTTTTGGTTTTTCAAGACAGGCTTTCTCTGTGTAGTCTTGGTGCCTGTCCTGGATCTTGCTCTGTAGACCAGGCTGGCCTCGAACTCACAGAGGTCTGTCTGGCTCTGCCTCCCAAGTGCTGGCTGGGATTAAAGGCGTTAAAGGCGTGCGCCACAGCTGCCCGCCACAGCTGCCCAGCGAGAGAGGTGTTTTCTCCTAAGGTGAGCGATGAAGAATGGCTGAGTGAGGATGTTCACGCTGGGCTTCTGTTCTCTCAGCCTTTGTGGGGTCTATGTAAGTTCTGTCCCTGAAATAGCATTCTGTGATGGCCACCTTAGCTTCTTTACCACTCGGGAAAGCCACTGAGTCATCAATCGTCCAGAATCTAAATTCTATTCCTATAACTTTATGAAAACAGCTCTGGGCTCCATACAGAAAGACCCAAAGGGGAGTTAACCAGCAAACTCCACCCAGACCCGTCCTCCAGGTTTCTGTAAGGAAATGGCGATCTCATGCTCTTGAACACAGGTAGATGCCAGACTCATTTCTTCCAATGACCTTATTATGTGTCACTAGACCTGCACAAGAGAATTCCTCAGATATATATTAGCATATGAAATCTATTATAGCAGCAGATCATTACTCATCTTTCCTAATATTTCTAGTATTCTTTATTGTTATGTCCCTTCTTTTTTATAATCATTTTTTTATTCATCTATTTATTTTACATCCCGGCCTCAGCTTCACGCCCCCCCATCCTCCCCTCCCAGTCCCTCTCTTCCATCCCTCTTCCCACCCTAAACTCCTCCTCTCCCTACTCCAACTCCATCCAGGAAAGGGTGGGTCTCCTATGAGTATCAATAAAACATGGCATATCAAGTTGCAGTAAGACTGAGCACCTCCCCATGTATTATGGTTGGGCAAGGTGACCAGTATGAGAAGTAGGGTCCCCAAAGCCAGTAAAAGAATCAGAGACATCCTCTCTGTTCCCGCTGTTAGGAGTTCCATAAGAGGGCCAAGCTACACACCTGTATGCAGAGTGCCTTGGACAGTCTCATGTAGGCTCCCTGGTTGTGGGT